CTGGCGAAACAGGCTTTAGGGGCGCCGGGAGCCCACCCTGCACCTCCAGAGCAGCAGCAGAGGAGCGAGCTGTGTGTCAGGCGGCCCTCCCGGTGCCGCTCCCGTGACTAACCCCCGGAGAACCTAGCATTCAGCGGGCGTGAGAGACGGCCTCCAGCTGTCCCTGTCTCGTTCATTAACTGAGGCCAATCGCTTCCCCTCTCCACGTGAAGAATCAAATTTAATGTAGACTTTGCATTAATTAAGTATAGGCTGGAGTTTAAAAAAAAAAGAAAAGGCAGCTTCTGACAAGTTTAGCAGTGCTGTCAAAAATTCATGCTTATGGAAAAAATCTAATCACATTTTATGTTCTTCTTAATCATTCTTCATTAATAGCTTGAGCCGCTAACAGTGCGGTCGTGGTGATTAACACAGACTGCGCTTCACAACGCTCTACCTCCATGGTCACTTGCGATGCTAAGTCTAGGCAACCACTTGAAAAAGAGGTTATTCAGTTATAATTAGACATTCTTAAAATTCTAGCTCTTTATTTCAATGTACTTTTCAGATTAAGTCCACTCTATCAAAAATAAACACAACTCGTCACAGTGTTTTGTATCATCAATATATTAGCAACTGTTGAGAAAAAGTCCTACTAATGGCACACGGAAAGAGTTGCCTATTAAAGTAATGAGATGAACAACAAAGTTAAAAACTTGTATTTGAGAAAACATATACAGGTAATTATTGTGAAAACAAGATTGCAGAAACACTTTTGCATAGAGTACTACGTTGTATGTTTTTTTATTATGGAAAAATATAGTTAAGAATAAAAATACATTTCAAACTTTACACCTGGATGAAAATTAAGACTATTAAACTATAAACTATTGAACATTTACAGATTAGGAGAGTCAGAACTATTACATTTCCATGATTGTAAGCGCAGAAGAAAAAGGGTACAGATAAGTTGTATCCTTATCAGTACATTATTGCATCATCCATAAAGACCATTTTTGTAAGCTCCACATGTCCAGTTTAATGTTATCCTGCTGATGTTTAGCAGAGACCCATATGAAATTCCCCATCTAAGTTTTAACCTTCTCCTTTGAAGCCCAGAACGCACAAGACACTCACGCAAGCATACACCTGAGTTCTCTGCAGTAGCAAGAGCCTCAAGAACAACTTGAGAAATGGCGTACCTTTGCTTTTGCCGCAGCTGCCATGGCTGGACTAACGAGTTTCTGCACTGGCAGGCTGCTGGCACTTCAGTGCCTCAATGTACAACTGTTTGGGAGGATAGTTTATTAAGTTCGGGTTTTTTTGTTTTTCTCCAGAAATGGATGGATCTTTTTTAAAAAGAAAAAAAAAAATCGATCTTGCATGAAACCTTAAAAATAAATGGTTCTATTTCTGACTTTTGTGTTATCACATGTCTGGTGGAAGTAAGGTTTTTTGAGAAGTAGCAGCAGCTTCACAGATTTCAGATACTCAGCTTTTCCCATAAGATCAGACAGCAGTGGCAACCATAAAGAAAACAACAAGTATATATAGTAATGCCAAGAAAATAGTCTCATTTGGCGCTACTACAAACATAGTAGGTTCTTAGGAACACTATCCCTTGCATGCATTTATTGCATGATATCCAACAACCCAAGTATTCTTATAATTGTAAGGAAAAGGTCATTTGAAATTCAATCATTGCAAAAGCCTTGTTTGCCCGACATTTTAGCTCGTTCTGCCTAGCAGCACAGCTTTGTGTAAAGAAAATGTAACACTTGAGAACTAGTAGCATGGTACTGATCTACTAGTTTCTAGATTATGGTTACTCCAGTTCTGTGTCATGAAACACTTCATGGAGAGTTCGTTCAACACAAGACTAAGCTTAGACTGATTTCAGAGCCGTACAGCAGTCCTGCTATTCATCTTTGGAAGAGCTTTAAGCAGTATTATTTTCTATACCTAGATTCCTTAAAAAAAAAGGCTTGAGCTACTGAGCTAAGACACTGCTAACCCATCAGCATGTAAGAATAGGTGGAAAAATGAAAATCTGACAGAATACTAGAAATCAATAATGGCTTTCTAGGTGTTAGGAGTTTCTTTTTAAAAACACGTCCGAGCCTAAGACAATACCGTAATTGTATCTGTTGCTCTGCATTACAGTGGTCTTCAAACGGAACCGCAATTCCAGTATCACTTTCTCTCAGTTCGAGGTTTGTTTCCCAGCTGCTCTCACATACTGTAAGACAGTACTGGACGTGGACGGCTGGACGTGGTTCCTGAGGTTCTGCTTCTCGCTCTGAGTGACCATGAAATTCATCTCTCTATGATCCAGTGTGGCCTCATAACTAGAGAGCCATTCCTCTTAGTCAGTGGAGGAGAGGCATGCATTGCATTATTTGACACGTAGACTGCCTCCCTTGAGGCATGCAGCCAGCTTCGCTTCCTTTTTAGATTTCCTACAAATGCTCTGAGATACAAAAACTCCATTCTCAGGAAGTTTTCCCTGGTCAAGTCTCTGGAGGCCACTGTTATCCTGACCAGCTGGTCCAACACCTTATTCTTCTTGCAGCTGGATAACTCTTTGAGGTTGATAGGCTTTGACCGTGCATAAAGAATCCGAAATTCCAGGTCAAAGTGTGCAACTGCAGGGCCTGACAGGATCAAAATGTTGCTGCTGTTCAGCTTCCCATCTGTCCATGTAAAACTAGCAAAGGAAGAATGAGAAAATTGTGAGTTAATTAAAAGTAAATAGTAAACAAAGTATTAACTGAAAATCCTCTTTCATCACATTTAGTTAGATTGTTCTTATAATCCAAACGATGAGCAGTGTGCTCCACTTAGGACAAACGGTACAAATAAACTCTGATAAGGAAAGCAGTTTTGCAATGTGGCTGCTTTTCTTTTCCTTGTAAAGAAATAATGTAAAGCAACAGAAAGAAACTGGCACTTGCCTGTAGGAGCCTGTTGTCACTCTAATGCCATCAATTAACATGAACTTTTCACGGACTTTTCCAACAATTTTGGCACCCGACCTCGTGTAGTATGTGTTCCCCGTGATATTTCGAATTCTCATCGACTGTTAAAGATACGGCAAGCATCATGTGGATTTCAAAGTTAAACGATTGTATTTGAAGGAGTACAGACAGCAATAATTATCACTGATGAACGAGCAAAGGTTGCTGCGCGGTGGCACAAGATTCACCCTCTAGGAACCAAATGATAATTTTGTCTTGTTTTAGTAGGCAAAGAGGTGGCATTAAGGGGCAGACCCATAAACTGATTGTGCAGAATGTGATTGTTGCCAAATCTTGGAAGGACCCAAACTCCACAGACGCCTGAGAACCTGCTTCTCCATCAGCCTTCAAAGTCTCAGTGAGCCTGAGTCACACTTTAAGAACTGGGCATTCCTCCTGCATTTCCTTGAATATTCAATTAGTATTTGCGCTCAGAAAGCAACTGTAACAGCCACTTATAGAGATTTCAGTTTTTCTATTAATTGACTTCTTATGCAAGAATGGTTAAATCTTCCAAGAAAGAACTAGAGCTACGTAAAACCCATTTTAAGTTGTGGCAGCAGGCAAAATAGTTTCTTCTTTTGATAGCTCAAAGATTACAGTCATAAGAGGATCAACTCTCTATCCCTATAAATATGACAAGGCTCACCTTTTCCTGTTCCAGGTCAACTCCCAGATCCTTGCACATTTTTAGAAAGTGGGAAAATGAAGACTGATCTAGAAGGATATATGCTTTAACCTGCCGCTGGCTACAAGCTTCTAAGAGGTCTCTGAAGATATCGGTATCTGTGAAGGAATCCATAACCAAGGCAATCATCTGCAACAAGTTTCAGAAGAAATCATTAGGCTGTTTCCACAGCATCCCAACGAAGATGGCACATGAGGAATTTGACTTTCAAATTAAATACCTCCCCCCTTCTTTTTTTTCCTGGTGGTTATGGAACACGGTACAGTGTTCTGTGAGACCATGTATTCTTCTGTTGTTCAGAGGACTGCTGAAACATTTAACAGACATGTAAGAAAGAGAAGAGAAAGGAAAAATAACTCTGATTAGAATAAAGTTCCGTGAAGAGAATGGTATTTTGGTAGAGGTGATTACCAAGTGCAGTATGCTGAGGTACAAGAGACACAATATACATCACCCCTTCACCATGATCACCTATTCATATCCCTGTATAGTTAAATAGAAAAAAAAAATATTGACTTTATGAACAGAAATTGTTGCTAAAGATTATTTGCCCCAATTTTGTTGTTGCTTGACTGACTTAGAGCAGATAACATCATTTAAGATTTTTATTATCACATTGTAGAATTTTGTGGTTTACTATAATTTCATCAGCAGACATTGAAGCTTCTTTTGCGAGGATCTGTATCTTTTTTGATTCACTAGGTATAAGCAATCTAGCCTGAAAGCCTATTGTGGAAAGACACCTTTTTTCTATTTAAAAATGAGAGTTCATCACTAATTAGCAGCAATAATAGCTCCTGCATCTGTTCAGCAGCACATTGCTCATGGTTTTTAATTAAGCCTGTACTAACTAAAGCCTTCCCTTTTTTACTACCTAACTTCACCTTCAAGAAAAATTTACAGGAATCTGAGCATTTTCTCCTTTCCCCCCACCTCTAGAGCCGTGCCAAGACCTACGAAGGCAGAAGGAGACTTGACATCTCTCCAAAAACCTAAGTGAACTGATAAAAAAGTATTTTGCATGAGGAGAAGAAAGACATTTTGCTGTCAGACTTCTTCAGCCACATCAGTAACTTTCAGTGTAACAGAAGCCCCGAGTTGATCGTGGAGGTGTTTGGGGGTGCTGAGAGGATCTTGGAAGAACCAGAACAGTGGCAAAATAAATGCATTGCTTCAGGTTTCTTCCTCACCCTGCGATATGGCAAAAACAGGGTTCTAGTTCTGTGTTAGGCAAATTTGGTCTCCGAGTCCTAGGCAAGAGGGTTTTTTCCTGAGAACAGATGTCTTTTCCTCCAAAGCATTGCCTGAAGAAAAAGATGAGCTTATTTCTAAAACTTAAGTTTGCCAGAGTCTTTCAAACTTCTCAAATATGAAAAGAAACAGTTAAAAAAAAAAAATCACGGGTGTCTGACTGCTCTTTACATCTCACCTCTCTATTTAAGATAAAAATGACGTTTCTCTTCAACTTATTATTCACATCCTCATGGTACGTCAAGCCAAGATCCGATTATTCACCCGAGCTCCTTGAGTAAAACCTCCCTTGAGCGCCAGCTGCGGCCCTCGCACATCTGTGCCACGGCCTGAGCCCCCGAGCTTTGCATCCGCCGCACGATGTGGAAGCGGCGACTCCAGAGACGAGCGGGGAATGGGCGCGTGGGACGCATCGCCCACAGGTGCCAACGCCTCGGTGCGCGCAGTGAGGCCCGGAGAGCACAGACGCGGCTCTCATCAGTATGGGGGGAAGAAACCTGACAAATAGCGAACGTATTAAAAA